TGGGCTGAGGGTCCCTAAAATACTAGTGCCTGCTGGCTTGTGGCTGACACAGGGGAGGTGTGGGGAAGGCTGCTGTGGGGTCTGGCAGGTTGCCATGCGTTCACGACTCCCCAGCCGCGAGCTGCAGGGGTTGGAACCACACCTGTCCCAGTTCCAGCTTTACCGTGTGTCTAGCACAGGGATAATCCAGGAGGCACTGAGGTACTCATTGCACAAACCAGGGTCTCCTGACCTGAGACCAATGCAGTGACCAGCTCCCAGCCCCTCTCCAGCCCCCAGAGCCCAGCTCCCCTGGTCAGGGATGGCACAGAGAAAAACATACCATCAACATTTATTGTTCAGTTCTCCCCAGTGGGCCAGGGCTAGGGCTGAGGGGCTGGGACCCTATGAGAAGATCTGGGAGCCCAGTGTGCCCGGTGGTCCCAAGGCCTATTGGTCTTCCCCCTAAGCTTTCCAGGTCAAGAAGTCCTGGGGAGTCCCTGGCTGTGTCAGACCCGAGAAAGCTGCCTTCTCAGAGAAAAAGGACATGTGGCGGAGAGGCCACATGATGCCTTAAAACGTGCCAATTCCAACATGAGCCTGTGACAGGAGGGAAACTGAGGCAAGAGGGTGGAAGCCAGAAGAAAAAATGACAGGGGTCTGAAAGTGAGGTAGGGAGGACCAGTATCTCTCAGGCCCTGAGCCAGAATGGGGAGAGAGGGAGTTTCCAGGTACGTCCTCCTGGCTCTGGAAGAGTGAGCAGAAGAGAAGTGGGGGTTCTGGTCAGTCAGGGGTGAGTCCTGAACAGCTCCATCCCCAGGGGTGTCTGCAAGGCAGCCATGCTTGAGGGGCTGCAGTGCCTGCACAGGTCCTGTGTGGCCCCGCCCTTGGTATGCACCAGAGGGGAGGCCGCCGCATCCTCGCCGGGCCCTCACTGAGCCTTTTTGGTCCCCTTCTGGTTCTTCAGCATCACGTAGGTGATGAACAGCCCTGGAATATACAGATCAGAAAGGCCAGGTAAGATCCAGGGCACAGCGTGGCAGAGTGACCCATACATCGGGCCAAGGACCTCCCCAACCACCCTCCAGGCCACCTGGTCATCTCCCTAGTCATCCATCAAACCACACATCCGCCCACATTCATTCAACAAACATCCCTGAGTGCTTACCACCAGCCACTGGCTGCGTTTAGTGTTTCAGATTCTACAGGATACAAGATCCGCCCAACTCTCCCTCTCACCAGCGACCACCTGTCCACCTACCTATTTCCCACCTGCCCACTCAACATCCAGCTTCCACTCACCCACCCACTCCACCACCCAGTCATCTGACTGTTGACCCATCCAAACCACTTTCTTGAGCACCAGCTTAGTGCCATGGCCTATGTAGGAGCTGAGGACACAGTAATAATGAAGACACAGTCCTAGCATGCCCACACTCTAAACCAGGGGAGACAAGAGAGGTGCAGGAATCATGCGCCAGGGTGACAAGGGGGTGAGAGGTGATTAAGGTGTGAGCAGTGCAATGATGGTGGTAGTGGAGGGAGCAGGAAAAGGGGAGACATCCCAGTAGAGTCCAGTGAGCCCCAGGCATCTGGAAGACTGATTGTAGCCCTGAGGGATGGACAGGAAAAACCCCCAGGGTGAAGTAAAGGCAAGGAGCCTTAAGTAGATGTCCAGCAAGGTCAGGGGTGGGAGAGGATCATGGGGCGCCCCGCCAAATGCCCTTTTCACGGGAATGATGACTTACCCACAAACAGGAGCAGCAGGAGGCCAGCAGCTAGTGGGATGGCAACAGCATAGGCTCGGGGCAGGAAATACTTGTGGATGACATGCTGGCTGTCGATGAATGGCTGGCATCCAGGGCAGAGCTCTGGTGAGCATTCCCCGCCTTGCCCAGCACCCCCAAGCCCAACCGTCCACCTCCCCCATCTCAGGGGCTGACCCCACTCTAACCACTGGGACAGCGTTTGCTTTTCTTTAAGACGATGGCCATTTGGGTGCCTTGGGTTGTTTCCTTCCTTCGTTTACTTAATAGTTGTTTACTGGGCACTTGCCCTAAGTTAGTGCTGGGGACCTGGCAGGGAACAGGATAAAGGACTTGCTCTCAGGCCCTCACAGCCTAACAGGGGAAAAGGGTACATGAAGAAGCCTGGAGTGATTCCCAACCTGGGCTCCAAGCTCTTCTTTACTAACATTTTTCTCCAAAGGATACCAAGTTCTGCAAGACTTTGCCTTCCAAATGCACTGCCCTTCTTAAGCAGTAACAACCCCCCCCCACCCCCCGCAAATCCTAAGGCCCTCACAAAATCCATGGGGACCCACCATGCCCAGGCGCCAGCAGGATAACCAGGACTAGCCCTCCCATCAAAGGCAGAGCAAATCAGGATCGGTGTAGCAGTTAAGGATATGGCCCTGGCCTCAACCCTGCTTCCCGAGCCTCAGCTTCCTCGTCTCTAAGACGGGGACGGCACTAGCACCTTCCTTGTAGGGCTATTCTGGAGATTTCATGAGCTATTCGGGTGAGGCACCTCGCAAAGTTCCTGACACATATAGCTGCTTAAATGACGTCAGGAGTCGGCTGCAAGATCCATGAATGGAGGCGAGAGGGGGCGGGTAAGTACACATACCAAGAGGATCACCCAGGCGGTGTAGTAGGTGAAGATGATGAGGCTAACGGCGACGAGGCCGAGTCCCACCACCTGGTCCGTCCCCGTGGCCTGGAGAAAAGGGAGGGCTCAATTGACGAAGCGACTCCGCTTCGGTGTCCTAACGGAGGGGGCGTCGCAGCCTGTTACGCTGGCACAGAGAGTGCCGGGCCTC